CTTCAAGCACTGCTTTAATGGACAGTGCTGTGTGTAAAGGTTTTGTTTTTAAAGGACCAAGCAACATTGCACTATATAAAGACAGCAAACACTTTTTGTAGAAGAGTTTGCAGTGTGTATAGTACATATTTTTTCATCTCATATGTTAGGACTTTAAATGACTTCAATATGGATTGGATAGGGACAGCCATTAGAAGATGCTCATCAATGTACTAACATTATCCCTATGTGGGCAAAGTACAGGCAATGTGTGCCACTGGCCCTGTCATACTGGCCTGTGTTGGGGAAGTGACTGTATAAAAAGTGTCCATAAAATAGAAAAGGCAGCAGGTGAAACTAGGAAAAGGTTGGAGCTCTATGAAGCAGATTTGAAAAGTTATTTTTTTCTTACTTGAGAACAGGACAGAAGTGCAGAAGCATCTGGATTTGGGCCCGCCACTCCCGTCCTGAAGTCAGATTTGGATTGCCCAAGAAAAGTGATTGTGAGAGCTCTAGAGACAGAACCTCAGATTGAAAGAGCCACTTCTTTAAGAAAAAAGATCACGAGGCAAAACAAAACAAACCACAAATTAAATACATGACACTGTGAAATCACTGATGAGAAAACAACAGATATTTAAAAATATAAATAAATACATTTAGCCATTTTTATTCAAGAAACCCAGAGAACTGCTTTCAAAGCAATTGCTTCTTTAAAACCACTTTCTAAATTCTCCCATAAATACTATTGTGATTGTCACTTAATGCAAGCACCCTCAGTGTTTGCTGGTGGTAGTGATGGAATCTCACTTAATAGTTTCTTCATAAACAATATCCTATTTTACTAAAGAACGTTTCCTTAGGAAAACCCAGGCAGCTTACAAAATATTGTTAAATACTCAACAGAACCTGCAAAATATTTTATTAAAGAAATCCAAGGAATGTAGTGTTAAATTATGACATGGGGGAAAATATGCAAAACAGTCACATGGAAAAAAGGTGTTTTAATTTTTAAACATCCACGTTTGCTTAACTTTTTGTGGGCTGTTCAACACTGTTTTAAAAACCCTGAATTAATAACTATACCAACAAAATTCATCTCCAGTGTTTCTTTCCACAGGAGACATTAAAATAAGACCAAATTATACTTCTCCTTTTCTTTAAGCAAAGTAGTAATTTTCTCAGTTCTTTTTGTGCAAAAACATGACAAGAGCAATTCAAACGGAAATGCTGAAATGACATGCCAACATTTCAGAGCACATTTAAAACACCCATAATAATTCTTGAAGTTACTGTATTCTAAAATATTACTATCAATCATTTTTAGGTTAGTTCTATACATCTATTCACACCGATAAGATTTTCCTAGTCTTCTGAAGATAAACAGGCTCATTGGTCTCTTTTGGTGTCCACACAATAGGCAAGATAGTTTACAATAGTGTCTAAATGGAACTAGGCATCTATAATAATCTCTTGACTCTACCACATTCAAAACAAATCAAAGTACATTTGGCTACCTTGAAATCACTCCCATAAACCTACTGGTTCACTGGATCTAAACATTTCTCAGAAATGTGTCATTTTTAAAATTTCATCTAAGTGATGATTTGGGGATCCTTTAGAAATAGTAATGCCTAAGAGAATAAACTTTATCAAAATGAATAATTGCAATAAAGTGCTTGTTAACATTTCAAAATGATGCTTTTAGACTGTGGTATGTTGTTTGAAAGTGTGTGCTATTCCTGCATAAAGGATCCCCAGGCATGAGAGTCTCTCTTCTCACCTGTCTCAGAAAGCAGCAGCTCTATCTTTTGGTAGGCTGACAGTAGGCACATTACCCATGCGGATGAGGCTATACTAGTGCTATGGCAAAAGGGGGGTAAATTAGAAAAATGGGAGGCATGTGGAGGATTCCTACTATATTCATAGTTATATACAAATATATTAAATATGCTATAAAAATAGTCAACTCTTTTTCCTTTGCAATTACTTCAGACGCTCCGTTTAGAAGAATGTTCACCAAACCCAAACAAACTGAAAAGGCTCTCTTTCTCCAATCCCTATGAAGATGGCAAGTGCCTTTTGTGCTGTTTCTTTTCCACAATTTAAAAATTTCAATCAGTTTACTCCTAGTCACTCATTCAGCAACAGTAATATCCAGTGTTCCTACCTTCCAACACTGACTCCCAAGGGACTAAGAACAGGGTCACAGATATTGGAAAGGTTGTAGACTTGAACAAGTTTTACCTAAGTGTTCATCAGCAAACTTTCAGTCATGGGGGGTTGGGGGAGGGGAAGGTAGAAATGAGCAATACTAGAGTAAAATGCTTAAAAACAAAAAACAAAACATTGACCTCAATGTAGAACAAACATTTTAAAATAGAGTAATATTCTGTGTACAATAATTTTCACCTGTGTAGAGCAGGGCACTATTTAAAGAGTTCCTGTTCTAAGGCTTCTTGATTAAGGGGTCATATCCCTTCCAGACAAAATGTTCTTTATGGAGCTGCACTGCTTCAGCACCCTTACCTACCTGCAAGCAGACTGCTTTAAGGCAATGAGCAACTACTATAGCACTTCCGAAGGCTCCAAACAACATTTTACTATTCCACACTGAGTGTATTACAACAAAATGCTCAAAGTCGCTGACATCTTTTTACTACTAGTGCACTCCTAAACCACGTTTGTGTGACAAAATGGAGCACAGGACTCAAATTATCCCCTCAATGCAGAGCAGAGTTTGGAGACTGCACTGTATTATTGACTTACATGCCCCATATTTTCTCCTCTTTCAGTATTTTCCACTAAAAAAATGGAGTACTTTTAGTTTAGGTTTTAGTTTGACATCTCTCTCAGCAGCAACGTTATTTCTTATAGTTCTCATTTGTAGTTGATAGAACAATACTGACACACCAGTGTCACAACACTCCAAAGCAAGCTGGCTGCAGAACAGCTGACATTTCTCCTTGTCTTCAACAGTTGCTAACCTAAAAGGTGCCACCCAGTAAAAATACTTAAAGGAAAACTGAATATGACAGTAAAGCAGAGGGAAGATAATGATTTTTTAGTAGTTGAAACAGGTTCTTATTTGGTATTTTTTCATGACTTAAATTTTACGATTTTAGTAAACAACTTTGGCTACAGAAAGGAACTAGTTAACTGCTGAATCTTTACCAGAATGCTCAAGTATTAATTCTTACATGGGAGGGCAGCAGGAGGAAAACTAAGAAGTGAGAGGTGGCTGGTGCTTATTAGCTCTTCCAATACAACACTTCACACTGACAGCACAGGAAAAGCACCCAGCTGCTGATCCTTTAAATTTAGTGACCAATTCTAAGTGGGGGGAAGATGAACTATAGAGAACAGGAATGATCAAGCCAAATCTTACCTAATTTTCTTTCCCAAATATTTGTGAGGATGGAAAATGAAGGGTCTGGTGGAAAAGAAAATGAATAGTCTACAGGTTTACCTTGTGGCTTATCTTGTTTGTTTTTTAACCTAAGTAAAAGTACTCATGGTTCACTGTATTTAGAGGATAAACCTTAATATTGTAGTTCCTCATATAATTTTGTTAGCTAAATCCATATCACTAGATATTGCCAGTAAATAAATGAGGCACAACTCAGATGTGTATGGAACAGCATAAGGTTGAGAAAGGCAATTTGAAAGGGGTGAAAATTAATACTCTTGCCATATTCTAGAACACCAATTTTGTCTATGATTATGTATGTTCAAATACACATACATACTTGACATTCAAGATAAAGTCAGAAATCTCTTCTAGATGATCATTTATCTAGAAAAGGGGCTCCTTGATATGTTAATTATTCACTGGAATCTAATGACACTTCTATTTGTAGAAGTACCTACCAACTCTCTTTGGTTGTTTTATTTTTCAACATTTCTAAATCATTTTCTAAATTTAAATGTAGCTAGGTACAGTTTTCTACAGAAAGATAAAGCTTATCCTTTAAGGATAGCAAAGGTGAGGTCAGAAAAGTCTTAGGGTTTTAGGAAAAGACTTAGGGTAGGGTTCCTCTGTCTAGCAATTTTGTATAAGGTTATTTTCACTATTGAAAACCTTTTCTGTTTAGCATCAATTCTTTATATATTTTCTGTTAAGATCAATTTTGATTTATTGCAGCTTGCTGTCCTCCCTTTCCTCAGTAACAATTTTTTGATATTCTGATGTATTCCATTAATTTTCCTTTGCTCTACATTTGTAGATTTATTATTACCATAAAGCCTACAAAATTATTTCTTGTATTTACATGCAATTTCTGTTGGAATTTATTACCTTTAGAATATAATACAGCCAAATGAAATCTTAGTTCATGTTTAGGAAGCATGTGAGTTACAATATCCTAGCGTTGCAGTGAAGGCAAGCCAGTTCCTGTCCCTTCTTTTTACTTTATAGGAATGTCAAGATCATATCTAACAAATATTTATTGTTAATTCTTGAGACTATTTAGCTTTAACAAAGGAAGATGCTGACTCAGGAAAACAACTTTGCAATCACATTAATGACTAATAATGGTATGATGTCATCTTTTATAACATTGCACCTCCAGTTCAAGAGACTCAAAGTAGTCTTCGTAGAACTCAGGAGAGTAGTAGTGGCACCGACACCCACATGCTGTTAAAAATGTACTAAGGTTTCAAAACTGCTACTGAAACCAGACAATGAGTTCAAGATGGTGAGTTGTCACCTGAATCAAAATCAAGGCACTATGGGTTTTTTCCCCCTCAAATAACCCTGAATTATTTGGCTAAAAGAAGCTTTGAAATTGTGAAGGATAATAAAAAGATTCCAACAAATTTTAAAAGTTAAAATTCCCACCAGTGAGAATGTTAAAAAGTGCCAAAATGTTTTGTGTGCAAATTTTACTCCTAGAACTGAAACAATCTTGAAATTACTTCCAGACTTGTTGAAAACTGTTTACACAACTATTTCCAACTATTAACTATATCAAAATGTGATCAAAACTCGCAACCATCTAAAAAAAAGCAGTGCAATCCTATTTTCAAACATAATTGAAAAATAATGAAATGAGGGATATTTCTGAGTAACTTGAAAATCCTGTTGTTTCAATAATTTAACCTGAAAAAAAATTCCATTCCCAGCAGCACATCATATCTCACTGAACAAACTGTGACATCACAGCTAAAGTATGAACAAAAAGACCTGTGCCCTGGAAAAGTAAATAGAACACTATATATGTTGTAAACAAAAGGAAAAACTGAGGATGTATTACTTTGCACATAGTGTCAGAATCTAAGGAAATGCCTCATACCTATGAGGAGATTATGCTTTCATGCAGCATACAAAACGTTTTGCTTTCTCACCTTTTATCCAGACACATACATGGTATTTTTACAGCATCTACACATAGATAATTTGAACCTACAGAATATTCTGAAACTAATTACTAGTCCATCATTATCTGAAAACAGACAGGGGCTGGGGAAGGGGACCTACCGAGTCTACTGGACTGTCTTCATGGCATCATTGTAAGCAAACCCTGACGTGGCAGTGGTGTATCCTCTGTAACACTTGAAAACAGGCACAGAACCACTAAAAAAGTCACTAACTTTGTTAGCGCCTCTCTGATTAACTGGAGGTCATGTTACATAGCTGAGCTTAACATTTGGCAATATACTCTTCTTCCATCAAAAGAAAATATCTGGGCAAGTAAAACACTGTCAGAACTGGCTACAGCCCTATGATCATCTGCTGGCTGGTATTCAGTGTACATTTACAGCACTAGGCAGCATTTTTCCTACTAACAGATTCCAGGAAAAAGAACACTCAATACTGTATCTCATGAAACTGCTGGGACTTTAACTTCTATCCTCAGGTCAGCTGAGCAGCTCTTTAAGGACCATCCCCTTCCTGCCTTGAGGCCAGAGCGGCGGCACGTGTGCTACTGCGGTGGAGCCTTGGAAGGGTCGGTCAAACTGTCAGTCCTGTGTCGAGTCAGCTGCTGCTGCTGCTGCTGAGACTGGTGTTGCTGGTGGTGAGATTGCGGGAAAGTGCTCTGTTGTAGTGGAAATGCAGCAGAGAGGATGAGTTGTGTTGAAGGATTCCCATGGAGCAACCTAGAAGTCTAAAAAACAAATGGATTAAAGAATGGATGACTGCTCTCTTCCATTCATACAGTCTACATTGATTTAGTCAAGTTTTCCACTCTCCATAGGGGCAAGATCCTTACATTTTACATAACCTACATAATATTTACTTTCTTGTATAAAAACACTTTGAAAATGGGCTCTCAAAAGGAGACAGCCTCTTTTTAATTTTTTTAAGGCACCTGAGCTACAGGGTTTTTTAAAGTTTTTTCTTTTTTAATTTTTGTGGGGTATAGTCCAGAAGTACAGGGGATGAGAGGATTCCCCAAAGAGAGTGGGCAGCAGAACAGGTGGATTTACTGAACTACACAGCTCAGGGGAGCATCAAACAGAGAGGAGAGGGTTGCTGCGCCAGGTGTGGGGCACCTCCCAGGCTGGGAATCAAACTCAGGCAGTAGTGGTTGAGACTTAATCCTTAGGCCACCAGGGAGGCCCTGAGCCACAGATTTTATTTTACTTTTAATATTTTATATATGTTTTACATAATTTTTCATTTTTATACAACGTATACACAATGTATACTTAATCTCCTCCTGCATGGTCCCCAAGAAATTCCCACCACCAATTCACCAGTGCACCATCACCACAGTCCCTTGTGTTCTTCTTACCCCTGTTTTCATCCCATTTCCTCATCCTCCACCCACCCAGTCAGAGTTTAAAATACAAAAAGCAGGCTACGTTTTGAGACAAACCAGACACATTCCCTCATTTTATAAATGTTCTAAAGACCGTAGTATTTGAACAGATAATAAAATTTAAGCTCAGCTGAGCATGCACGATACATGACTATGCCGAGGTCAAATAGCAACATCCTCTCCACAGGTCCTTTTGGATGGTTCCAGCCACAGTGCAGTAGCTGGAGCTTGGGCCCCGAGGCACACACACTGTCTGGTTTCAGTCTCTGATTATCTCATTTACTAGACTTGCTCGAGATAAATTACCACGGTGGGCATCAGTTTGTTCATTTACAAAACAGGGTAATCACATTGCGTCCTACACTGGATTTTAAAGACGATTAAATATTAACATTGTTTTAAAATATGATTAAAATGAGGGCAAAGTTGGAGATTTGCATCCTATATGTAAGTGTGATACAACAAAAAGCTAAAGCAAAACAAAAAGTCAGAAGTACAGATTTCGAGTTGTTCTCTGCCATTTATTAGCTGTGTGACCTTGGGCAAGTTTTGACTCAAGGAGTCTCATTTTTTTTTATAAAGATAGTATTTATGAACATAAATATTAACATTATTTTAAAATATCATAAAGGAAAATAAAAGTTAGAGACGTAAGTCCTATATGCAGCAATGTGATGTAACAATATGCCCCAAACAAAAGGTATAAGGTCTGAAGTCAGATACCCAGGATTTGAGTTTGGTCTGTCATTTATTACCTGTGAGACTAGACAAGTTTCAACTTAATGAACCTTGGTTTCTTTCCCTTTACTATTGCAACTTAATGCAGGGCTCCTAACTTTAAAATGGTCCTGTAATGGGAGAGTTTTTCAAATGTATATAAAGAACACATGAACACATACTAACAAAGGACCAGTCAGCCTTACCAAGAAACCTAAGAATTCATTCTCTCTCTTGGTTACTAGGAAAAAAATTTGTAATAAAGAATTCAGGGTGTGGCAGATCTCTCCTGACCCGCCCACTGCTCCCCTCAGCAGTGTACTTCGTCGATCTGCCTGTTCTGCTCCCCACTCTGTCTCTGGTGTATCCTCTCACCCTCCGTATCTCTGCCTGTACCCCAGTACTATATGAATAAATAAATCTTTAAAAAAAAAAAAAACACCAACTAGTATTCCATGTGTATAATATAACATATCACATCTTCTGAATCCACTCATCTGTCCTTAGGCATTTAGGTTATTTACATCATTTGACTATTGTAAACAATGCTGCATTCTTCAGACAGATACTTAGCAGTGGAACTGTTAGCTCTATTTTTAGTTTCTATTTTGAGAAACCTCTATATTGTGTTCTAGTCTACAACCCACCAACAATATAAAAGGGTTCTTTTATCTCCACATCCTTAACACTAGTTCCTGGGTTTTTTTGATAGGGGCCATTTTCACAGGTAGGAGGTGGTATCTTACTGTGGTTTTGATTTGCATTTCCCTGATAATAAGTGAAAATGAGTATTTTTTCATGTGCCTGTTGACTGCCCATATGTTTTTTGTTGGTTTGTTTGTTTGTTTTTTGGAGAAGTGTGTATTTAGTTCTTCTACCCACTTTTTTATTTAACTTTATTTTTGTTGGGTTGTATGAGTTCTTTATACAGATCCTGGCTATCTGTCCTTTGTCAGATATATGACAGGCAAATATTTTCATCCTTAGACTGCTTATTTTTAAAGAGGAAAAAAAGAAATATTTATTTTTTTAAGGACCTTGCTCCATAATAGATTTAGAAGACTGAGATCTTAAGGCAAGTTTTCTGCTTTTTAAGTTTTTGTTTAACTTTCCTAGAAAATAGTAAATAACTTGTTATAACATTTCACTATTAATTCATTTGTAACATAGTTAACCAGTCATTATTGGCTACAAAAATTCTTATTGTTAAGGGAGATGCAAATTAAAACCACAATGAGATACCACCTCACATCAGTGGGAATGGCCCAACTTAAAACAACTCTCAACAACAAATGTTGGCGAGGATATGGAGAAAAAGAAACTCTGCTATGCTGCTAGAGGGAATGCAAACTAGCACAACCACAATGGAAAACTGTTTGGAGGTTCCTCAAAATGCTAAACATGGAGCTTCCCTACGACCCAGCAATCCCACTCCTAGGTATCTACCCAAATGACACAAAAACACTGATTCAAAAAGATACCTGCATCCCATGTTTATTGCTACTTTATTTACAATTGGAAAGGCATGGAAACAATCCAAATACCCAAAGTGGATGACTGGATTAAAAAGAGGTGTTACATATACACAATGGAATATTACTCAGCAACCAAAATAATAAGAATAATAAACACATGCTTTTGCAGCAACGTGGATGGAGCTGGAAGGGATCATGCTTAGTGAAATAAGCCAGAAAGAAAAGAAAAAATATCAGATGGTTTCACTCATAGCAGGAGTATAATGGACCAGGCGATAAAATAATAATAATAATGAACAGCCATATACCAGAGACATTTTATGCGGTTGGAATCGGGAATAGAATCAAAAACAGTGGTGGGAGGGAAATGGACTGGCCTATGGTGACGGCACATGGGTGATATGGTGATGGGAAGCCCACAGGGA